GCCTAACAGCACCTTGCCAGTCTTCCAACTTGTAGTGCCCGTTCCCTTGCTGAAGTCTGACCGTCCTGCCAAATCAAAACGTCAAAGAGAACGCCGAAGAATAGCAGAGCGTGGGATGGCCTGCCAAAATGCCGCAAAGCCCGACTCCTTGAATTGCAAGTGCACTTCCCCTCCGCAGATCAGTTCCAACGGCATGGTGCGAGCAATTTACTCAGCCCAACACAACCTGCTGCACCTGCTCACATGATTTCGCCGTAAATAGCATTCGCCCGCTTCTTGCTTTTACGAAGCTACCTTGCTCCCGACGTTCATGTGCAGATAAGTTTTGCTTTGTTCTCCTCTCGCTCTAACTAACGTGCTTGCAGCCACAAGTTGTCCCCCACCCCTTACTCGGTGCCTTCGCCTCTCCTCTTTCTCAATCTGCAGTAGTTTGTAGCATTCGAATGTGCTTGGTGGTCTGCACGGCTAGGTACATGTCAGTAAACTCCAAGCTGCAGGGGAAGAAATCATGAGTACAACGACTATCTCGCCACCTTCATCTCCTCGATTGTGGCTGTGGTCTCCTCCCCGTGCTGTCGAGCTATCTAACCACGTGCGAAAGCTAATCAGCTGCAATCGCAGAGGTGGCCCAGCCGAGGGCGTTTCTCATACGCTGTAGCATAGCGGGTACGCCCACTGAAGGGAGGTGATTACGCCCACTGAAGGGAGGTGATAGCTCCCGCAGGTGGAGGTAAGTCGTACCTCGCGTGGCCCTACCTTGTTGTAGGGGTTCGCGAGAGGTATGGCTAGCGCACTCGGCCGGAGCGGCGACGGAAGCTCCATTTGCACCGCGATAAAGGATGGAAGTCCTATCACAAATCCTGCGTGGCGCGGCTGAGAGGGTTCCCCTACGGGACCGATGGGCTCGACATCGTGCCCGTTAACAAGCCACGCTTTTAGGAAATGTACGGGCCACTACAGGAGCGCCCAAATTCATCCGACTAGAAACGTTTCTACTCTATTTTTTTCCACGACCTATAGATGGGCCAAGTACTAGTGGTTTAAAGAAGTAGCTTCAGGTCCCATTGAAAAACACAGCTTAGGAAAATGCTTCCAAACAGGCAGACACTCAAGATCATACTTGCGGCGCATCCTGTGAACGGGGTCGCGGCACATGCAGCGCAAGTATGCTCAGGAGGATATAAAAGACGAGAGATTGGGAGAGGCTGAAGAGGCTGAAGGAGGTCAACCCTCTGGTGGCCCCCAGGATGTTTGAACTCACAATGAAGGTGACCTGAAGCGACATTACAGCACACCGGCATATCTCATATAATCCATATCATCTCAGACTCATGTTCACAGTTCATTCTCATACTCATGTCCAAAGGGACGCTGGACCCGGTTTCCAGCAGGTGAAGCTCCCCACCAATAGATGGAGCAGCAGGCAATGGACCTACTAGAGGAGGGTGCTCATATCACCTCCTCCTAGTAGGCCCCCAGCTGGCACTTGAGTGTAAAAAAAAAAAGAAAGAAAAAGAAAAAAAAGGATTTCGCATTGACCCAAGGGAATGGAATTGGACTCAGGGTACCTCTAAGACCCACCTTACAGTGAATTTTGGCTACAACCTTGGGCTGAGATTCAGAAAAGATGGCGCAAGATACTACAACTCAAGCACAGCGAACAAATCGTAATCCCCTGGAAAGAATACATAAAAAACAGACCAGTGAAAAGCCGCAGCCTTCATAGGCTAATACCTGACACGGTTCTCCACGTGACTCAAAGGACTGCACGAGCATATGCAACGCTCAGATATCCACAGCTCGCCCATCTGTAACATGCGCTCAACTAACCTAGAAGAAGACATCATACACTGCCTGGTCAAATGCCCTGAATCCTGGGAACGGAACAGAATTACAAAGCTATGATACTCCCTCTTTACACTCCTCCCCCTCCTCACGACCCTCCTTGCCATCCAGATTCCCTCTTACTTAGTGGAACCACCAAACAAGGTTAGGGTATCTACTACTACTACTACTAAAAAGGATCACTCTATGGACCTTATGGAAGAAATGATGTGACCATCGACGACCATGAGTTGGGCAAAGAGGAAGCATCGGCTCAATTGATCAGCATGGCGAAAACAGAGATCAGAAAAGCAGGTCTTTTGAAAGGAACCGGTGACTGCGAGGAAGAGTAGCGACGACCAATGACAATGGATTAAGCTGGAAGAAGTGGGACAACACTTGATGGTCCAAAGGCCGTCCTTTACAAAGCTAGAAAGAATTGCAGGTCACTCAGCCCCAATCAAGATTGGGGCTGAGAGGCCTTCTTTTAGGAACGGCAAGCTGGCAGAGAATCCTCCGTACACAGGAGCAATCAATGCTTCTCTGAGTCCGTCGTTCATGCGGAAGGAAGCATCAAGGGAAAGCTAACCAAACTGATGCTCCCCAGCATGGAAGAAGAAAAGGCAACTTGAGTGGAGAGCCGTGTGATTGGCGACCATCTCACACGAGGTTCGGAGAGCACTTGTCACCACCTCACGAAGCGGATGATTTTCTAGTAGCAATCTCTGGTCCACTATCAGACGCAGTGAAACTGGGATCTGAATCGGAATCGTTCCTGAGAGACAAACTCCAATTAACACCGAGTATGGACAAAACCCATATTACCCATGTGTCGAAAGGCGTACCTTTCCTTGGCCACAACATCTTTCGAAGTATGTGGTGCAACCTTACGGCTCGAAGAGCAGACGCTTCGCGTAAGGCTCGGTTCTTCCACCTAGTGGGTGCAACTCTTGACTCTATGTGTGCTAAGTTGGTAACGTACCCATAAAAGATGGCCAGGAAATCCTGTCCTTACGGGTACCTGGTTAACCAATTGCTGAACGTCAGACATTGTGAAGAGGACTGAAGTCCATTACACGACTTATGTGCCACTTGTTCAGCAGCTCAAAAAGAAAACGGTTATCACTGCTGCTTGTTACGCACCAGAATTAAACCTATTGGGGGGGAAGGGGGGGGGGGGAGGGGAATCTTTTGTAAAATAAAATTCCCTGAAATAATATAATAAGCATTAATAAAAAATTAATAAAATTAATAAAATTATTGAAATATATCAATTTTAATACTTTTTTTTTTTTTTTTTTGATAAACTGGCCCAGTGCCCAAGGCTGAATTATACACGCTGCCAGAAACAGGGTCTGGTGTCTTTTACAAGAAAAAAAAGGGGGCCCTCCCCAGTCCAAATGATCCAGGCACTCTGGACTGGTCTATCCCAGGGCCGCACAACAAGACCGACTGTGATAAAAACCCTGCGAAACCCCAATCGGGCATAGCGCAAAAACAACACCAAAACCACAGAAGAAAAAGGGACCATCCAGAACTGTACCCCACTGTACTGCCTCCGCACCCCCCCCCCCGCTGCAGAACCACCCTGCCACCTGTCCGGCACCCAGACATGCATCTAAATGTCTGGTATACAGGCAGTGAACACCATACACTCTGGAGGGCAATCCGCACGTCCAGATCATACCTATGGTCTTTACACACGTACATTGAAAATGGTAATGGTGTATCATTTTTTTCCTGATGATCCTGCTCATCATGAAGGATGCGTCCATCAGTGGCCTCCTTGCTCAGCCGTTCCTAGCAAGCCTTTTGCATGTGAAAGTGTTTTTTTTTTTTTTTTTTTTTTTTTTTTACCATCCTCGGGGAGTGCCACCGAGGGTGATATGAGCATCCCTCTGTGGCACCTGCCCGGCTGATGGCTCTACTCTATTGGTGGGGAGTTGCACCTGCGGGAAACCGGGTCCAGCGCCCCTCATTCCTAGAGTACAAATTCAGGAATAATTTAGAAAGGTTCAGGCCGATCCAGATTCCAGATGTGTTGTGGGGGCTTCCCCCGCCTCAGCACCCACTAGAGTAAATGCTCCCTTGCATGTCCAGGATGGGAGCATTTTTTGTCTTCTGATGATGCTGCTCCTTGTGAATGACACACATGTACAAGTGGCCACCTCACTTAGGGCCAGATCCCACTGGCAAAGAGGATTGGAATAAGTGGCTGAATCTGGACGTGTTCCACACAGAGATGCAGAAAAGCAGTTCAATGAACTTCAATCACAATTGTTTGCACCTCTCCACAAACACGTCCAGATTCAGAGGCTTATTCCAATCCTCTTTGCCAGTGGGATCTGGCCCTCAGTCTTTACTAACAAGCTCCTCACCAGAACCGTTGCTCTCAAGGATGTTCAAAAACCATCCAGGTGCTATATCCGGATGCATGTTTTCTTTAGAAGAGACATGACCACTATGTTGACAATACCCGCGTTAGTGTGTTAGTGTGTCTCCTGGTGTAGCGATATATGCAATGTTATTCATGGATTTTCCTTTCCTTGAACATGCTCCCCCCCATTCCCTGTCCCCATACCTGCATGCCAGAGTTGCACAGCTGGCATCCACTGCCAGGTAACCAGGCCCAAGCAGCCCAGTAGATGAAAAGAATGGCAAAATGAGAGAGCACTGATCAAGAAAATGCTGTGACAGCGAAGGGAAATACGCTGCAGAAGAATGGAAAAACAAGAGAACTTATCAAGAAAATGCTAAAGGCAGCCCAAACTTTCCAAATCCTAAGGCTGGAGGGTACACCAGAGGGACACATAGGGGCTCGTTCGACACTCCTCGGGCCCTGAGGACGATTCCTTGGAGTCGCCCGAGGAAATTCCCGCCTTCGTTCCACTCATCCTCGGAGTCGTCCCCCGAGGACGATTCCTCGGGGCTCCCGCGGCCAGATTTATATATCCACAAGTGGACGCGGGGGGGGGGGTGAGGGTGGTCCAGCGAGTTGTGTCCGTGCGGACGGCGTTGGTCCACCTCTGTTGGCCGTCGCGAATTTGAATCACTGCGGGAAACCAAAAAAAAAAAAAAGAATACAAAAGAGGGGCCATTGGAAATGGCGCGCACAACCACAGTTCAAAATTTGAAATTCGAAATCTTGCTCTGCAATTGGCGGCGCGTGATGGACGTACGTTTCACACCCAATTGCATCAGCGTCTGGCGTTCGGGGTGTTCGCATAAGTGACAATGGTGGCCGGCGGTTGTTGTCGAAGAGTACGCACCGGAGACGGCATCGACTTCTCACCATCGTCATGGGCACACGACCGTCCTCAGTGCGTGGCGTCCAAGGTTGTCTGCAGAGGCGGCGCTGTGTTCTTCCACGTGGCGGTGTTTGTGCAGTCGTGTGTAGTTATTGATGTGATGTCCTTGGAAGCGGCGTTGGGGATGGATATTGACGGCGAGGTCGGGCGTGACAGTCTGACGAGGGCAGAGAGGACGGCTGTCGCTGCGGCGGTGAATGTCGTCCTGTTCCGCTGCCAAATGGCGAGCAGCGAGGGGAAGTTCAAAGCGGCCGTTCGTGCACGCCGCAAGCTGTCGGCGCTGCCGACGAGTGGCCAGTGCTTGGACGTCGGTGCCATTTCCGACGCGGTGCTGCAGGTCTGCTACGCGATGGGGTGCGACGCGTTTCCACAAGCAACTCCAACGTGGTGGATGAAGCGGCGGACGGGAGGTCCGTGGGAGGATCTGCGGCAATGTGATTACGCGACAAATGACTACTTCAAGGACAAGCTTCAAATGTCGCCGCGTGTTTTCCGCGAGATCGCGGAGACTCTTTCCCCACTCCTGCAACGCCGTGTGACGTTCTACAGGGTGCCCTTGCAGTCGAACCACATCATCGCCTACGCTCTGTGTAGGTGGGCGACAGGGGAGACATACGACAGCGGGATGTGTAGCTTTGGCATTGGCAGGTCTTCCGGCATCACGGCGGTGCGGGACGTCACTGCGGCATTGCTTACTGCGTACCCGATAAGATATCCTGGCCCACAGGTTTGCAGAAGGCGGTCGTCTTGCGCGCCTTCGCAGACAAGGGTTTTCCAAAGTTACTGCCATGGGTGCATCGACTGCACCCACATCTACATCGACAAGCCCGCCAACGCCAACGGGGAGGACTACTGAGACATGAAACGTCGATTCTCCGTGCAGGCGCAGGTGGTCGTCGACATGAACTTGCGTGTGTTGGACGTCTTCGTCGGTTACCCGGGCAGTGTGCATGACATGAGGATGCTGAACCTGTCCAGTTTGTGGGCGCGCGCGGAGGAAGGACAACTTTTCACTGGGCCGCCTGTGATGCTGCCTTTCGGTGTGCGGACTAATGGCTACTTGCTCGGCGATAACAGTTATCCCCAATTGGAATGGATAGTTGTCCCTTACGGCAGTCTCGCGCAGCACCCGTCAGAGGCACGGTTCGTCAACAAACAGAAGACGGCCAGGGGAGCAGTGGAGAGGGCGTTTGGCAGACTGAAGGGGATGTGGAGGTTGTTCCTCCGCACCCACAAGTGCAACATGGAGACCTTGCCGCAGCAATTTGTCGCCGTGTGCATCCTCCACAACATACTCATCGACGCAGGCGTCCCGTTTGACGCCAATCTGCTGTGGGAGGTGGGTTCGAACGGCGTGCGTTGCAGAGTCGATCTTGGGATGCATCAGCCACTGAGGCCGGTGTGCATGGAGTAATCAACGGGGGATGCGCTGACATTGAGGGACGCGCTGGCGGAGCGGATGACTGCACAGTGAGGATGGCCGTGTGTGCAGGTGGAGACCCCGCTGTGGCCGTAGTGAGGCGGAAGAACGAAGCTCTGTGAAGCGGGGAAGCATCGAAGGGATCCTACAGCGGGAAGGAAGGGGAGGCCCGCTTCCCACATCAACTGGCGATTCCGTGTCTTCACGATGATGATGCCCTCAAGTCTGCTGCCATCGGGATGTGCTGGGTTATTGTCGTCAGGCGCAGTGTGCATCATCCAGGTGTAATCCACGTCGCCGTCCGTCAGGGGGTGATCTTCCGTTTTGTGGCGCAGTACTCGACCCCTGGTCGCGTCGTTCTGGCGAGAAGTGCATGACGTGTCTCCTGCGGGCAGTGTGTGTAGGTGTCTTCGTGTGTGTGGTGACTAGTTTTGTTTTTCGTGGCTCGTTTTTTTTTTTTTTTCCGCTTGTTCTATGCCGAACACTGGGCGCGGTTACACGCAGTGTTGGGTGCGGTATTTTAATCGTTGGTTGTGGATGTCGTCGTTTGCGGACTCCGCGTGGCGCGGTTGGACGTGTCATTCGGCGAGATACTGATTGTGATGACGGTGCACGATGGCTACAGTTCTGTCGATTGGGGGGGGGGGATCATCCGTCTAGTCGCGAAATGGAAATGCGTTCGCCTTGAAAGGCTTTTCCCCTTTTAACGACAGAGTGTCCTTTGCTTATCTTGGTGTGCGCAGATTTGCGTTCCTTCATCTTTTCTTTTGTTAATTTTTGTTTGCGGGAACTTGGATTGCATGCGTTTGCAATGGTGCGCCATAGTTGTTTTGTCCGTGGTTCGGAAGAATGTCTATCACTTTGTCTGCATCGACCTTTGCCATTCTCGATGTCTTGCATTTCCAATCCCCGCTCGCATTACAATCAGTTCCTGGAATGATGGAAAGGAAGACGAATGCATGGATTGCAGGTTCGATAACTAGAAAGATGAAAACATAGTTGGATGCATCAATTTCTCACCATCAACAATCAGCAGTCAATATGAGAACAAAGCATCCCCGCCTCACATACGCTTTATAAAAACTGAAGGATCGATTGAAATCAAAAACAACGCATGGCTGTGAAGATCATCAAGATCAGTGATCGGAAGGACGCTCGGTTTACAGCATTGCACATCTGTTTGTCCAGTCGATAGACATAACATCAACATGGCAAGACCCAAGAAACGGAAAAAAAAAAATAAAAAAAAAAATGCGGAGAAGTACACAATAATACACAACAATGGTTGAACGACGACCAGGCCCACGAAAATGAAGCTGCCGCCGCCCATGATACCTGCCTACTCATCTACTCCTGCCCCGAACGCAACCACCCACGCTGCTACAAACCCCCGTCTCCCCCATAAGCCCTTTCAGTACCCACCCCATGCCCCGCATAAAAGCCCCAAACCCCAAACCCCCCTCCCCCCCTTCCCGCAATCCCCCTTCCTCCTCTACCTACGATCTGGACAGGTCGTGGCGAAATAGAGAACGTTCGCCACATCGCCGGAAGACAGATATGCCGTTCGAGAATCGTCACTCCATGGCCGAGCACGCGAAGTATTTACACTTTCCGCTTGGCGTGGAGTGACTGTTTGCGTTTGCTGCCGTCGTCAAAGAAATGACGGCATCATCCCCTTCCCTCTCGCGATGTCATGCGCATCACCCCCCCGACCTTTGTCAGCGCCATCATCGTCCTCATCCTCGTCCTCGGGGGGGCTTGTCCCCAGCCAATCCAACCTTCTCGCCTCCATCGGGGAGGCCAACGTCGCGTCGTGCGAGAAAGTGACTCCGCACTTTGACGCCCAATCAGGGATGTAGACAGGTGGGGAGGCGAAGGTCGGAGGCGGTCTCCCAAACTTGTCTGTCATGACTTGCGAGGCTTGCATGATGTGGCGGCGGGCGTCGAATTGACGGTTCATGGACGCAAGCAGCGTCGTCTTCGCAGACAGTTGCACGAAAACCCAAGTGTCGTAATGAGATCTTGGGTCGTCCCCTACCATTCGCATTATCCACATCGTTGCGGCCAGCAAGTACCTCATCGCCTTTGCCATGGCCTTCAGACGCTCGTACGATACACGGCGGCCTGCGGAACACGTCAGCCATGAAACAGTTGACGACGACGGCAGCAGACGGAAGACAACGCGGGCGCCAACATAACAGCGAAGTACAGTGCTGCAAACGGTTGTTCCAACAAACGGAAGGTGTCGTCTTCGGTCACGAACGACAGTGCGTCATTCGGAGAGACTGTGCCGCCCGAAATATTCGTATCTGCCGACCGTTGGGAGAACTCCCGCGGCGTGCCAAACGCGACGACGCGAGACGGCACCTTCTGGACGTCGGGGATGTCGGTAGGCCGCAAACGATAACCGTTGGGGATGAACCCCGTGACGCCGAACGTTGGCGACCCAACATGTCCATGTAGACGCAGGCAGGACCACCGATGGACCAGACGGGATCGAAAAATGTCGTTGAGGGAGCCGTCGTCGACGCCCCGATTCTTCCGGATGCTCGACCTCCAAGGGACCTCGGGAGGTCCCTTGGGGAAATCGCCAAAATGGCTGTAGCCCCGAGGAATCCCCGAGGAATCCCCGAGGAAATGTTTTCACATTTTCTTTTCCGAATCTTCCCCGAGGATGAGTGAAACGACAGTTTCCTTGGGGAATTTCGGGCCCCGAGGAGTGTCGAACGAGCCCCATAGCCAAAGTACTGGAACGAAAAAACAGGAATGATGCCTCTTCACTGGTCTTCAAACCAGCACTACCTCCGAAACTCACTTTCCCGATGCGAGATTACATTGTAGATTTGAAATTGATGAAATGCAGAAGTTTCAAATAAAGTAAGTACTTTATGGAAATAAAGGAATACGAAATTGGAATTTAAGGAAATAAAGGAATATCAAATTGGAATTCAGCGACTAATGAATAAGAAGAAATTTCATACATATGCAAGTAAAAGGCAAAATTGAAAAAAATGTGCATCTTTTGTTGATTTTGCATGCCCCTGGACTACCGAAGCATAGTTGGGGTCAAGCGTGATGCTGGCAGCGTTCCTCGTTCCTATTTGCACCAGAACTCTCGTGAAAGGCATTTTTCAATTCTTAAACCACCAGTACCTTTCTCAGCTATCCATGCCGAGCCTAAAACTGCCCTGCACGCCAAAAAAATCACCAGAGTGGGCCTCGTTTGCCTGGCGCCACCAGCCATACCGCGCTGGTAGTCCCAAGCCTGCCTGCCTCCCGTGTTAACCGGCGGGCATTTGTCTTTCAAGCAGGGAAAGGTACTGGTGGTTTAAACCACCACTACTCCGCCCAGCCATTCATGGCGAGCCTGCATATGCCCTGCGCGCCAAGCTTTGCCGACCTGGAGGGGGCCGGAACCAGTAGGGGAAATTTGTTGGTTGGAACTTGGAACAAGTGCCGCCCATTATGCTGGACCTTCTGCCAGCAGCTGGAACGAAATCAGGCAGTCGTTTTTATTGCTTTCACTCATTTACCACCCCAGGCCTGGCCAGGAGTGCAGTCAGATACATTCTGGAAAGAGATGCCCTGAAATGATCGAGGCCTTGAAAAACAAAGGAAAAGAATGCGTAACGTCCCCCTCATTCGCTGTCAGCAGCCCACCTCTCCCGGCAGGCAGAAGGAAGAAACATGATTGAAAAAAAGAGCAAAAAAAAGGAAGAGACATGATACCACGTCTGCAACGAAGCTCGGGACGTGAATGCAATCAGATTTGTCCAGGTCTGGCCCTCCTTGCATCTGACTGCAATTGTGGCCAAAGCTGGATGAATCTGACTGCTATCATGGCCAGACCTTTGTGAGAAAATGCCGGAGGGCCTCTCTCCACTACTCACCACGTGCACAAAAGACAAAAATAACGGCTGTGTATCTTTCCATGTTCCAAAGGAAGATTCAGGGATAAAGTCCCAAATATCTGGAACATTTGGTACCATGCCTTTGTCCTTTGGGTGCCCGTGTGGTCACACGCACGTTCTCTGTCCACAAAGGACAGAGTCGCGGTCCTGACATTTGCACCTCCCAGGAAGTGCACGTAGTCACACTGCTTACCCCAAAAAATATGTAGAGTTTTTTTTTCTTTTTTTTTTCAATGCTGAACTAACACGCAAGGCTGTTTTCCTCATGCACGAATTTCCTGAAATACCTCACGGAGAAAGAAAAAATCGAAAAGGTAATTTGAGACCAGCTCTGGAGGTGGTCTCAAAAGCCTTGAAAAAGGGTCCTCCCGCCGCCCTGCAGGCTGCTGACAAAAGGGTCACCAAAAAGTACACTTGGGTAGCGGGCCTCTCCAATGTGACCCGGAAACTGCCTCAAATTTTGAGATTTGAGGTCATCAGGTCCCTGTGTGAGTATGCCCTCATTCTCATTTTGCACATTTGGTGAGTATTGGAGTGAGGACCCTAGTGTGAGTAGGCCCTCAGCTACGGGCAAATGACAAAAAAGCTAAAAAAAAAAAAAGAAAACAGATTTGGCGTTTTCTAGACTGCCAGCTGTGGCTCAGTTGGTTAGGCACGCAAGTGGCATTCAGGAGGTCGTGGGTTCAAGCCCCATGACTGCCTGCGGCGCACTTAGTGCCAACGGACTGTGATAGTCCTCTGGATACCCCTGATCGGTATGCGCGGGGTCTATGACCAACGCGGGTGCGAGTGCGAGCGTGAGTGGGTTGTGTGCGGTGTGCGGGAGAGTGTTGGCCATAGCCTCTGCTGCTACTTGATGAGGGTTGGGGGACGATGAGAAAGGGAGGCGCAGCTACTGGCAAAATGCTCAGACCCCCCCATCTCTGACTACCGCTGTTGGGGCGGGGGGAACATGATTTACCTCGTTTGCGAGGCCCTATGCTTGCAGGGGTCCCCTCTATATTGTCTTAGGAGTAGTGGTAGCAAGGTAGTGAAAGGCAAAAAGAATTTGAGAGAAGAACATAGTAAAAAAAAAAAAAAAAAAAACTCTGGACGTGATTGCCGTCAGATTCGTCCAGATCTGAGATGCACGTAGTTAGGCCTGGACGAATCTAACAACAAGCACCTCCAGAAATCTCGGAACTTCGGTCCGTGAGAAGCATGCTCTGAGGGGACGTTATGTCCCCGATCGTTTCTTTGCCTGCCAAGTGGCGGGTCACACATCTTTCATTTTCCCCCCCTTTTCTCAGACTTGCCAGTTCTCATTTTGCTTTTTTTGTTTCCTTGTCTGCGGTATCCTGCACGTGTTTGAATGAACCGGTGGGAATACTTGCAGTCCAATTGCCCTGTTTCGTTGGGCCCAACGGCTTCCTTCCCCATTGCACTACTGGGCCTTGCCCAACACCCAAAGAATGTGTCCGTTAACGAGCCACGACTCTGTTTTTCAAGCCGGGAAAGGTACTGGTGGCCACCAGACTTAGGGCTCACCACACAACTGTCACATCGAGAAATTTCGACAGTGTGTGATGGCCACAGGCCGTCGAGAGGCAAACCCGTCAGCCTCTGTTCACAACCTGTCAGAATACATTCTTCGACATCCCTTTCGAAACAGCCCTCTCCCACCCCCCGGCAGCATCCAAAGTTTCGGCAGCCCTCTACGGGGCTTGCGAAAAAAATGGTCGGGATGGCATCACGGGAGGGACCATCTGGTAAAAGCAAAATTGAAAATTGTCATCTATAAACGACATGCACGGCAATTTGAAAACCCGCCTTCTCGACACTGCTATGGCAAAGGGTGGGAAATCGTTGAAACAGGGACTGTCAAAAAAAGTCTGATAACGGTTGGGAAAAAAACCATTTTAACGGTGTGGAGAGGCCCTTAGAGACTTCCTTTTGGTCGAAGCAGATTCCTCCTTGTGCACCAAAAACAAACGACCCGATGCAGGTGCATTTTCTTTTTGGCTGGTGCCGCCGCCCATTTAGCTCCGATAGCCATGCCGCACGACCACATTGGATGAAAGTGACTGGGAAATGTGCTGGTGGTTTAAGCAGAGCAACATGTACCCTACTTCCATCAAGTTTTTTCAATTTCTTTTGTTGTTGAAGGAGATCAGAGTAAAAATTGCATGGTTACGATCCAGACATCTGGACCGCAGTGGAGACCTGGGTGTGGCGAAGTACGTGCAAGCGCTCTGACCTGACCGACGGAAATGGTCCCGTTGCACTTCGGTTGACTTCTTTGTCGCACGTGAGGAAGACGGTGGAGGCCCCTAGCCATAACCCGCCATAAAGGGAAGGTGAATGTGATAAGGGAATGCTGCCTCCGGAAAGCCCTTGTGCAAAAGGCAACGCCATCGACGAGCAGCACCAAGAGACAGGAAGACGCAATAGAACGCAGGTAGGAAGGCGCGGTGAAGACGGAACACGGCTGCTGGATAGGGCAGCGGGGAACGATGAGACAGGAAGGTGTCCATCACCATTACAAAGCCCGGCGGAGGAGCGGGAAGGACGTCAAACCATGCCATCCCACAGTCCGAGTAGGGAAAGAAAAAGGGAGCCGACAAGAGGACAGTGAACTGGGCTGACGAAGGAACCCTAAACAACACGTCAGCGCCACCAGAAAGGCATAAGTGAGACGACCGAGGAGGGATGTGGAATACGCCACGTGGACGACACTAGAACGAAGCAAGAGAAGAGACGTCGTGGGAAAAACCTAACAAGCAGGACGAACGACATCAACCAGAAAGGCAGTGGGAGAACATCGGCTGAACGATGGTGAGATCCTCCTTGGCCGGCAGTCCCACCATCCCGCCTCCGATATTCTGACCCTGCAAAGTGACCCCCTGCCMCCCCCCCCCCCAACTTCCCCCTTGCATCGACACACACATCCTGCAACTGCCCACCCAAAGACATCATCCCCCCCTTAAACATCCCTCAACCGCCCACCTAAAGAAATCACCTCCCCCCACCCGGTCTGCCATCCCCAGCACCAAAATCTTGATCAGCCAAACAATCAACAAGGCACAGAAGGAAGTGAGGGCCGGAAGAGGAAGACAGCAGGGGACGATGAGCCCACCGTGCACACCCACGAAACAGATGCAGAGCACAGAGATGAGGACCAAAGTCCGGAAGGAGTCACACAGGAGGACATAGACTGGCTACAACAAGCTGTTACCGACCTCGAACGTGTGCGACAGCTGGAATTCAAGTTACAGCTGGCACACCAGCGTTACACCCAGAAGCTACATCAGGCGGGGGCAGGA